GACTTGACCTCTAGGCCCGATGTTGATCCACCTTTCTCCGCCATCCTCCGTCTTCTGAACCCAGTAATTCGCGCCCGATTCGCCATTCTCACCTCCCATCATGCCGTAGGGCTGGTGGACCCGGCGCTCCGAGATGATGCCGTATGTCAATGGCGCGCGGCACTCAAAGTCACGCACAATTCCGCAACCACCCGTGAACTTGCCTCGTCCGCCACTGCCCTGTCGGATCGAGAACTCGCGGATCAATACCGGGTATCTCTTCTCAATGATCTCGATATCCGTGGTACGGGTGTTCGTCATGTGGATTTGGACGGCTGATGCGCCATTCCACGTCGGACCGGCTCCTTCGCCTCCGCAGATTGTCTCTCCATAACCGAAGCCAAAGCCTTCGCTGTTATTGGTCGTTGAGTCTGGCGAAGCTGCGGGGTCGAGGGAGTTGCCAAAGAAGCCGAAGCAGTTCATGCAACCCTGCGATCCAGAGGCTGCTCGGAACGCCTTGAGCAGGAGATCGACCAGTCGCTGGGAAGTAAGGGTGTTGCCGCAGCAGACCGCTGATGTCGGACCAGGGTTCAAGAAGGTGTTCTTGGGGATGATGACCTGTGTGGGAGTGAGACAACCCTGGTTAAGAGGGATGTCGGATCCAATCAGGAGACGAAGGGTGTAAATGAGGGCCGAGTAGGTAATAGCCGGCGGCGCGTTCATGTTGGACAGCATCTCACACGAAGTTCCCGTGAAATCGAATGTGCCGAACCCTGACTCATCGATGGTGATGGAAACCTGCATGCGCGAGCCGTTGTCAAGATAATCCACGGCCTTCAGGGGCTTGGACCCGAATCTCTTGTAAGCAGAAAGGAGGTACTTCCTGACGGATACTTCGGCATTCTCTTGGATCTTCGTCATGTAGAAGTGCACAATAGGCTTCCCGAACTCTTCCATGAGGGCTCTGATGAGACTGCTACCCTTGGTGTTGGCGGCGACCTGAGCCTTGAGGTCGGAAAGGTTGTCGGGGAGACGACGAGAGCCGCTGCAGCCGGGATAGTTTCCTGGGGCGAGGAGGATTGAGATGATGCCCTCCTCATCAAAAGTGCCGTCTCGGATGAGAAAGAATGACTTGATTGCAGCACCTTCTTGCCAAAGCTCGGTTGAATCACTGCGTCTTGTTAGTATGGAAATACGATGACATGACTGAGAAAATCCTTACGGTGGCATGGAGTTGCCCTTGGATCCGCCAATGTCCAAGTGGTGGCCTCTTGAAGCGGTGTAGAAGCAGATTGTCTTTCCGTCTTCGTCGAAGACTGGAGTAATGACCGTGATGTCTGTTCAAGTCAGCATTCAGACTCAGAGGGCCCGGGCTCCGGGTGACTAACCAGGGAGATGAGTGCCGCCGGCCTCGGGGTGATTCGAAACCAAGACATCGCCTGGGCGCAACTTTCCGTGGTGCAGCTCGTGCTGGTACTTGACAGCATAGCTCATGCTTCCCAAATGAACGGGAACATGCGGCGCATTGGCGACCAGATCTCCATCAGGACTAAAGATGGCACAAGAAAAGTCCAGACGCTCCTTGATGTTGAGCGAAAGACTCGTCTTCTGAAGAGTTCGGCCCATCTGCTCTGCGATACTCATGAAACGGTGACCGAAGATGCTGAGCTTCACGGGATCAACCACAAGCTCTCCGTCATCTGACGGCTTATTCTTGTTCACTTTGTCGACGACATCGATGACGACGTGAGAGGTGAGGATCTTGGCTTGAGAGCCAGGGACGACGACAATGGTCTGCGTGCTGTCGATGATGATCGCTGGGCCAGCGACGATTGCGCCCGGCTGCAGTGTGTTGAGGCGGAAGACTTTGGTTGCTTGGAGGCCGCCTTCAGTAAAATATGCGTTGGTCTGTACATGAGTTAGTGAAAGCTTCGAATGAAGACCGTGGGAGGCTGCCTACAGTGGTGTCCTCGCCCTTGGTGACGGCGCTGAATGACAACGATTTAAGTTCCTCCACGAGCCGATCATTATCTGTGCTAGACTCTTCGGCCTTACCAACTCCGCGTACACGGATGTCGTCCACATGGACCTTCCTCGATCTGGGAAAAGTGAAAGACAATTCTCGGAGATGCTCTCTCTCCAAAGCCGAGAGCCAATTGCCATCCTCAGGTTGAAGAATCATGAAGTTGGTATCGGTCCCGTTGTATCTAAGGTTGAGATATGGCTCGTGTTGAATAGAGGCATCCTTTATACCCTGAGAGAGTAATCCGTCTGTTGCCTTTGTCTTGAGGTAGTCGATCCTCTCGTTGAGTCTGGGAAGGGACTCATCAGACAGCATCTCGGAGCTTGGCTCCTGCGCCTCTTGAACCACCTCCGCCAGCGCCATTCCGTATGCAGAGAGAATGCTTGAATAGTTGTGAATGACGATGCAGCCGATTCCGAGCTTCTCCGCGATTTCACACGCATGTTGTCCACCTGCACCACCAAACGTTGCAAGGTTGTGGTCAGCGGTGACGAAACCGCGGGCCTCTGTAAGGGCTCGGATGGGTCGACTCATCGACTCGTTCGCAACGTCGATGAAGCCGACTGCAACTTCATAAGGGGTCATCGAGCGTCCCGTATCAGCATTGATCGTCTTGGTCAGTTCTTCGAATTTGGCGGCGACGATCTCAGAATCCAACGGCAAGTTCTCATCGGGACCGAAGATGGCGGGGAAGTAGCTTGGGATCAGGCGTCCAAGGCTTCACAAGGTTAGCGCGTCAGGAAGCACCATTTTACGCGGGCGACTTACAAAAGGTTGGCATCAGTCACAGTGAGCGGGCCACCTTTCCTGTATGAAGCTGGGCCGGGGTGCGCGCCAGCACTCTGTAGCAAGTTAGCTGCCGAAGCAAAGCGGTGGTTAGAGTAGAAGCTCATACCTCAGGTCCGACCTTGAAGAGCCCGTCACGCCAGAACAGCATGCTGCCACCGCCTGCAGCAACAGTGTTGATATCCAGTTGAGGACTTTGAATAGAAACGCCGGCGGTGGTGGATTCGAAGACATGTTCCAGGGATCCTCCATAACGACTCACGTCGGTAGAAGTTCCACCCATGTCAAACCCAACAATAGGGGATTTGCCGTCGTACGACGTGCGTGCATGACCAACCACTCCTCCTGTAAACAAATCAGCGGCTATCTTCAGAGAGCTGAGCTATTGTAAGAGCGTGATACTTACCAGCAGGACCACTGAGAATACCGCGCAACCCACTGAACGCCTTGTGGCTCACCAGCCCACCATCGCTCTGCATGAACTCACATGAGATGTCATCAAGGTTACCGTCCTGGAATTGTTTCGCAAATCCATTTACGTAGCGGATGATCTCGGGAGTGAGGTAAGCATCAGCCGACGCTGAGCTTCCTCTTGAAATCATCTTGATCATGTTCGCGCCCACACTCGATGACGTTGAAACATGCTGAAAGCCAAGATCGCGCGCAATATCCGCAACCTTATTTTCGTGGTCAGGGTAGATGTAAGAGTGCGCCAGACAGATGGCCAGAGTCTCGATACCCTTGGACCTGATGTCCGTGAGCTTCTGACGGACTTCCTCTTCATTCAAGGGTCGGATGACTCTCAGAATGTCTCCCGTGATGCCCTTGACGAACAAACCAGGCGACTCCTTGGGCTGGGTACGAGCGGTCTTGTAGACATCCTCATCGTACGCTTCTACCGTGAGGCGTTCTGAGATTTCGATAACTTCGTCATAAAGAAGCTCTGGCTTGCGGATGCCGAGATCAAAGAGTTTTGGTCTGGATTGGTAGCCGATGTCGAGAAGGTCACGGAATCCTTGGGTAACTACGAAGGCGTGCCGGGTTCCTTTTCGCTCGAGAAGTGCTGATTATTGAGTTAGTCGACATAGTTTCTTGAAAAGCTTGAGCTGCTTACCATTTGTCGCGACGGTAGTTCCCATGCGTATTGAGTGAATTAAATCTTTAGGAATTGGCGACCGACGAGGGATGGTTGTGCCAGACACCATCTCTAGTACCCGCCTGATACCTTCGGCTGGCGCATCATCGTAATTGCCGGGGTCGACAGATAACAGCTTTAACACCACATCGGGCTGTCCGGGAATGGACGCCCAGACGTCCGTGAAAGTACCACCACGATCTGCCCATGTAATGTTCAGCTTGTATTTTTAGCGGCGAAGAACAATTGCCGACTTACCAATCGCGAAGTTGATGCTCTTCGGCTCAATTGGGGGAATAGCTGCTCCAACAGCCATCTTTACGTCTAATGAGAGATAGTAACTATGGAACCGACAAGAAATCGAGGTTACGACTTGCGATACGAAAGACTTCACAAGAACCTCATCAAGTTATATGACACACAACCTCCGGATGCATCATCACCATTCCGGCAGAAATGGCTAGATGCCGATGTCGCAGACTCGATCGGCGAGTGCTCCGGCAACCATTATCCCAAGATGCACGATGAAATTGGACACAACGGACGCCCGTCGATTCGACCTGCCACGGAGTCATGCACCTATCAGTCAGCCATACACGATGATAGGTGATCTGCAGCCCATGCAGCTTCGTCGATAGCGGGGTAAGGGGAAGCCAAGGGGAAAGATATGACCAAAACCCTGTTCTCCAACCTCGTCGTTTAGACCTTCCAATGATAAGAGTCCTATCACAGCTCTTGTCTCAGAGCAGCACGTCGCTGGGTGGATCCATGCATGGGGAAGTTGCAACGCGGGTGATAAGAACCCGGGGCTGATGCGGTCGACGATAAACCCCCGAACCAACCCTATGCTAGTCGGCGACGCTGACCCTTACCGGTCGGAGATATGGCTAGTGATATCAAGATGGCCAGTTCCAACAGCCGCCTCGCCAGGCCGACCAGGACCCAATATCTAGCTAAATACAAATGATATCCCCCTCATTAGCATCTCGGTCCCAGCATAGGTGTTTTTGAATTGCTTTTAGACAAAACCAATTACTGCAGCAACATTATTGGAAACGAAGGTGCCAAAACGGCATCATGGCCGAGAAGAAAGATGGTCCGGCAGAGCAACCGGATATCAGCGCCATTCATCCGAGCTCCTCGAACGTTCAAGGACAGTCTGAAATAACCAAAGCGCCACAAGATGGCATCCTTGACGAGGCCGCTGAGTTCTTGGCGAACGCGAACGATTATCCGCCAATGACTCCAGAGATCGAGAAGAAGATTGTCAAGAAAATCGATGCTTGGATGATTCCACTTGTGAGTAAAGTTTTGCTCATTCATCTTGTGACACAGAGCTGATGTTGAACGTGCATAGTTACTGTTTACCGCCACCCTCGGAGCGGTCGACAAAGTCCAAATGGGAACGGCATCTCTCTATGGCTTCCAAACAGATAATTCCTTTGTTGGACAACAGTATAGTTGGCTCGGAAGTGTTCTGCCCTTGGGGGTAAGTTGATTCGTGGTCACTGTCGAACATGCAACTGCTGACGTTAAATTTCCAGCAACTGATCGGATATGTCATCGCGTCTTACCTTGTCCTCCGATTTCCACCCGCGAAGTTTCTATGCGCTGCATCCTTACTCTGGTCGGTTTTGACGCTTTTGCATGCACCATGTCGAAGTTGGTCCGGTTTCATGGCTCTTCGATTCTTTATGGGCTTCATCGAGGCTGCTATTTCCCCATCATTGACGATTCTCGTCTCAAGCTTTTACACAAAGAAGGAACAGCCCCCAAGGAACGCTAGTAAGCGAAACGTCGATTCCATGGCCAAAAGAGCTCGCTGACCTATCCCTCACAGTTATCTTTGCCTACTTCTCCTCGGTTTTCAATGGCTTCTTCGCATGGTTAGTCGGCAAGATCCCGGACTCAGCCCCTCTTCTCAAATGGCAATATTTATATCTCCTGACCGGAACCATCAACGTTCTTTACTCGATATTCATCTGGTTTACCCTACCGGACAGCCCTATGAACGCTCATTTCTTGACCGATGAGCAGAAGTACTATGCGACAAGGCGTCTCGCTGCTAATCGCACTGGTATTGCCAACAAGGTCTGGAAGTGGGATCAAGTTTGGGAAGCTTTGCTGGACATCAAGATTTGGATCATTTTCGTATTCAATATCTTCATCAACATTCCGAATGGGGGCCTTGTCAACTTTGGCAGCATCATTATCAACAACCTGGGATTCACTTCCCTGGAAGCTAGTCTACTGACCATGCCGTTTGGAGTTCTGGCGACATCCAGCGCCTGGGCGTTCAGCTATCTGGCAGCTAGATGGCATAACCGAAGAACGCTCGTTGCCTGCATCGCTCTTTTGCTGCCCATCCTTGGGACGGCACTCGTTCATGGACTTCCAAGAACGAACATTGCAGCACAAATGGTCGGACTCTATTTCATGTATTTCTACTGGCGTAAGTGCAGCCGACCCAAGAATTTGTTCTCAATGTCTAATGATAATTGCAGCCCCGTACGTGGTCGGCATCTCTCTCCCGCAAGCCAACACCGCAGGACAAACCAAAAAGGCTGTCTGCTTCAGTTTGGTCCAAGTTGGTTATGCGGCTGGCAACTTGATTGGACCGCAGACATTCATCTCAACCCAGGCACCGAAATATAACGGGGCAGTCATTGCGATGCTTACGAGCTACGTTGTCAGCATGGTATTGATGCTAGCTTACTGGCTGGTGGCGCTCTTGGAGAACAAGAGGCGTGACAAGAAATATGGCAAGCCGGAAGCGGTTCACGAGGGAACAGTCGACGGGTTCGTAGATATCACGGACAAGAAGCAAAAGGACTTTAGATATACCACCTAGCTTGGTGCTCTCCGTAGGAAGCGACGGGTAGATGACGAACTAGGAGCGTAAGAAATTGGTCAAATAAGAGTCTGAAGAAGAGCGGACGTGGATTGAAAGTCGATTTCACTGGCTAATGCGATACATCGGGACTCGCGATACGACGTTTCATGCTAGGCTAATGGTGTCGTACCGGCCTGCAAGTATTGACCAACCTTGCTCCGCGTTACTCGTCTCTAAGTCTCGTGCTTTCCAAACATCTTCTATAATACGCCTGGCCTTTCTAACATTGCCTAGTTGTCTTGTTTGCTGCAGTAGGTGGAGTTTCTCCAGAATCATCCGCCGGTCTTCGTCTGAATCAGAGCGAATACCAAGCGTCGCAACAGTGAATAGAGGCCAAAGAAGAGTGTTGGTGCGAAGGGAGATCTTTGGAATGATCTCTAGAATTTGGGTGGTGAGTCTGAACATGTGCGGGTGCGAAGGGCTACATCCGTCGATGCGGGCATACAGGTACATCAAGCTCGTGAGACGCTTCAGCTCAGAAATCCACTCCGACTCATGGGGTTCATCCGAGAAAGACTTTGCTTTTGCGCCTTGGATTAAAAGGTTTTGCATTTGATGCAGTTCCCTCTCGATTGAATCTCGCTTGCCGTTTTGAATGGAGACATCTCCTTCAGGGGGACCTTGGTCAATACGGCTAGAGGTTTGCATTGATGAACTGTTGGCCAGGCTCGTGATTTGAGAGAGGAGATCAATGAGGCGTTTTGAGCAGCCAGTTAAAGTCATGAAAATAGACGAGTCGTACCCGTCAATGAGGTTTGACAGCTGACTTGCCGTCCGTGGCACAGTTGCTGCGTCTGGGCCAGCAGTGAATGCAAGGGCATCGTGGTAGACAAAATATGTGGAGGCGAACGCGTATAGGCTGGAGGAGAAATCGTCGTCTTTGATTTCATGGCAGATTTCCGACATCAAGAAGGATCTGGCAAACGTTGCATGGACTTCCCATGACCGAGAGCAGTCGTGCAGGATCTGTGACGAATAGTTAGTTACTTGTCCATGGAGATGGTGTCGCGTTATAGAGAACGCAACATTGGAGATCGTACTTCGAAGAAACACATCATCAATGTTGACGCCATGATTTGCTGGGCCAATGCTTTTCTCAAGGACCCGCCGATTGTCGATGAAAAGTATTCAGATATTGTCTTTCTTAGAGAAAATAATGCATGGTCTCGGTAGATCCAGATACTCCTCATCTGCTCCGAATGCTTAAGAACTTGCATTTGATGTGCTGAAACGGCGAGGATGCTTCGGCATACAGGCCCTCCAGGCGATGCTGCAGCTATTCGGAGAATGATCTGACGGTAGGGGTTGATGCCATCTTTCAGGACACAGCGTGGAGCAATGAAATCATTGAAGTAGTTCCATAGGGGAGCTTCTCCCGATGAAAGATTCAGCGGGGAAAGACTTCTCGAAATCGTTAGGTCCGATGAGCTTGTGTTCAACGAGAGCAAGCTGCAGGGCGCTCCTGGCGGTGTGGAATGGTTATCCGAGTTGTCGACCCATGGCTCGGTAAGAATCTTTGAAACTTCTTCAAAGTCTTGCCAAGTTGTATTGAGAAACACCCACTCTTCAACCAAGCTGCTGTAGGAACAAGGTCGCAAACGACTCTTTAGGCGGTCCCCATGATTCGGTAGCCGTTGCCAGGAAAGCCGCACTTCATAATGGCAGCTGAAACCCAGTCTCTGGCAGTGGCTGCAGATGGGTCGCTGCTCTGTGGATTCAAGTTAGCCTCATCAGCAGCACAAAATCTTGTGATTTGTATACCAGGACACTTGACGCGTCGCTCTGAATTTGTACATCAATTAGTTCATGCTGGATAGTCTTTTGAACATGGCAGTGTGACATGAACCCACCTCGGCACTTCCAGCATCCACTTCTCACGCGAAGTTCCCCATTCCGACGCTTTCGAGTCGTATGTTGTGTTGAAGCTGGCATGTTAACTTTGAACAAGTATCAGTGTTTTTTGGTAATGAGACGCAGTTCTACCGCATGCAAAGATCACCAAGTGTTCATACGATTCTGGACGGCGTCACCTAGAATCGTTTGTTGTGTCAATCAACAGTTAGGTTAGGATGAGATGATAACGGGAATAAGAGCTGGCAAGTCGAATCGACGGCATCATCCCAGTTGGCTAATCGCTACCCCGCAGATACGGATGCCGCCCATGGTGGAGATACATAGCGATTGGAGGACATCGGCGTCGGCGTCGGTGCGACTGGGCCGATTGCAATACAGGGTCCAAATTGCAGAGAGTTACATCAGTGCTATTGAGTCGCGGTTTCCACTTCTCCGCGCTTCAATTGGAAGAGTCCCGGTTGGGTATCGCATGACTCCGGCGCAAGCCGCAATCGGGAGGTATCCGACGTCGGAGGTGTTGCCCTCGGAGTTGGGACATTGTCGCGACTCAAAATAGGCACTCCCTCAGCGAACGCTGCCAAGTCTAGCCAGTCCTCCTCCTATTTCACGATCGGTCTCGATTCCCGAATAACTTTGAAGATGTCAAGTCAAAAGCCGTCAGTATTGATCATTGGCGCCGGCACATTTGGGCTGTCGGCGGCCTATCATCTCACCCGCGCCGGCTACAAGTCCATCACGATACTCGAAAAAGGCACAACAGTACCATCCGAACTTTCAGCAGGAAACGATGTCAACAAGATCATTCGTGCAGAGTATGAAGACCCGTTTTACACCGACTTAGCCCTCCAGGCCATGGAAGAGTGGACAAACAACCCAACATTTTCCCCGCACTACCACCAGACCGGATACCTGCTGGCGAACTCGGCAGCGGCACCCGAAAAGACGAAAAAGACCTTGGCAAAGTCTCTGGAGAGCATCAAGACGCACCCAGCATGGGCCGGCAGGATTGATGCCATCGAGAGCCGTGAAGACATCTCCAAGGCTGCCCCAGCCTTGGATGGCCCGATGGAAGGATGGAAGGGCTATTTCAACCGCTTCGCTGGGTATGCACATGCTGCAAATGCGCTAAAGTCGACTTACGACTATGTGAAGAGTCAAGGGGTGGAGATTTACACTGGCGATGAGGTTGTTGCCTTTGAGTACGACGGCGGTCGGTGCGTTGGTGCTCGGACTGTATCAGGAAAGCAGTTCACCGCAGACAAGACCATCATCACGGTTGGTGCGTCGTTGGGAAATGTCCTTCCCTCCGTCGGCCGACAAGTTACCGCTAAGGCTTGGAGTGTGCTTCATATTCAGCTTCAGCCGGAGGAGGCCGAGAAGTTGAAAGGCATCCCGGTCACATATGCGCGCGACCTTGGATTTTACTTCGAGCCAGAACCGGGCACGGGTATTCTGAAGTTCTCGCCCAGTGGCGGAGGATATACCAACTACTCTCCCACGACTGGGCTTTCCGTGCCTCCCATCGATAACAACTTCGTGAGCGAGTCAGACGAACAAAAGATTCGTCAGCTTCTTCGAGAAACTCTCCCAAGTTTGGCAGAGAGGCCTTTCATTAACAAGCACATCTGCTGGTGTGCCGATACTGCGGACTCTGACTATGTCATTGATGCAGTACCTGGAAAGAAGGACTTGTTCCTTGCCACTGGAGACTCTGGACATGGATTCAAGATGTTACCTGTGGTTGGAGACTGGATCAAGACGCTGATTGAAAAGGGAGAGCAGAGCATCCCTCGTTGGAAGTGGAAGGAAGGAAGCGATGCCGGCGGTAATGTCAGTTGGAGGGCAGGCGAAGTTTTGGATCTGAAGGACGTCGGGTATACATCTAAGTTGTAATCCATCCTCGTTCGTCTATTAATAGTTCATAATCCTGGTCCCTTTTGCCCCGTTGATCACCGACCCGTGTCTTGCTTCACCAGATGCACCAAACCCTTAGCTCGCAGCTTCGTCGAACCGGCTCCTTCTCAGTCCCTGATATGTAGAAAGCGCTATGCGGGCATAGCAAAGCAATCTCGTCTTCTCCCTTCTCTTTGCGAACCAAAGCCTCGCTGTCGTAGAATTTGATCAGATAGACCTCCTCTGGAGATTGCCCGCTGAGATAACACCAGGCATGCTCTCGGGCCTCCCCGTTTTCTCCGTCTTGGAATCCGGAATCTCTTCTTCCTCCATCCAACGGCCTCACCATGGCATTTTGACTATAGTAAAACGGGACGCACCCGGGGCGCTTGCGATACGTTCGTGTTAGTGGAGCGAACTCGACATCTTTCGACACTGGCAAACTCATATCCATAACCGCCAACGGATCACGGTGGACAGTTTCGAACGGACGCCATACGCTGAAGAAAGCATAGCGCGGGCCTTCGTAGTTGGCGCCGTCCCAGTCCCAATGGCCACCCTTCGGCAAGGTTGTCTCTCCTTGCACTTCTGGGTCTAGTCCAGCCTCCGCAATAGCGCGATCCTCGGCCTCGATAATCTCGCGTCGAAGGCGGAAGAACTCGGTACGCTCTTTCGGTGATGTACACTCTTCGTCCGCTGTGTCGTTCTCCGAGAACCAGTTTGACTCCTTGATGGCGCGGAAGTGCGCACGAGCACCGGCCGGTGTATGATCTGCGTGCGCGATATTGAATGGGGCCAAGGACTCGATGCTGAACCCAATCTCTGGGTTCATACCAATTTCGGACCAGCTCGGCATGTCTCGGATGGAGTTTTTTCGCACCACCACGCACCTTGCTCCCAGAGTCTTTCTCAATAGCTCGGTCATAGCGGGATAGTATTTGTTTGTCATATACTTGTGGTTGTGCACCGAGGCCGACGAGGGAGATATCGGAAGAGGCTGGCGTACGATTTGGAAGCCATTCTTCTCGTGCGTGTAGCTTGAAAGCGGTGAAGGTAGAGATCGTAGGTCGGTTACCGGGACTTTATATGTTTTGTTATCAGGGAAAGTACCCTCGATGATCGTGAGGTCGTCGAGAGCGGGAATCCCAGAGCTGTCATAGTAGCTGAAAGAGCCCAACACCTGCTGCTTCTTCATAGGTGTCGTTTGCTCGTAACTTCCCATCTTGATTTGATACTAGATGATTTGTTTGTTTGTATGGCTGCAATTCTTCGTTGATCTGAAGCAAGTCTTACGGCAGGGGGGGAAGGACATAAAAGCAGAATTTTCACCTGGGCAGTATGGGCATTGAGCATACGTGGATTTTCATCCGGAAACGTTACTTAGGCGAGGTTTCATGCATCCAAACTATCTGGGGTCTGGCTGTTGAGACTGAGCCTAACATGATTCAGTCGGTGTAGAGAAATGCCTCTCATGCTACCCTTCGCATCTGTGCGCGCCTAGAGTTTATAGCAGCGAGCACCGCCAACATACGACATTGCGTTGCTGCATGCATTCATCCATCTCTGCTGTCAATCCACGTAATACCATGTTGACTGAGTTTGCGGTCGCCCACGTGGAAGCCGCGGAAAGCGCTAGACTCACATGCATCTTGGTGATAATGAGATCCTGGCGCAGATTGCCATTGCAGGTCTTCGCTTGTAAAACCTGGTCTGGGAGCTCAACTATTATGGGAGATGCGGCAAGTCATGCGACAGAGATGGGCCACAAAGAATGTGCCATGGTGAGTCACAAGAAATGGGCACCTTTTCAGACAATATTCACATCATCGGCAAAAAGAACGTGAAAACATTGTTGCCCAGTAAATGATGGGATGAACTGTGTGCCATACCAAGGCCCCAAGGTTCACGGATGGCGGGATAGCTTTCACATTTCTGCCCAAGCTGAAGCTTGTAGCCGAGGATATCAGCTGAAGAACATCAAATGGAAAACTGAAAGTTGAAGTGAAGCTTGGCCCACATCAATTGAGTTCGATAGCTAGTCTCAACATACGGACTGCTCGTAATGTGCGAAATTCCTCTTTTGGTCTTTCTCCGAGCGCCAACATGCAGTGGATGTACGACAGCGCCTCATGACATGCGATTATCTTTAAATAACAAGCTGGCACTTATTGCTAGTGAGAGTCTACCTTGTCTCTGGACGGGTCCTAGATTGGTATCCCACCGGAATAAGCAGTTCGCGAGCTGACTGCACCGCACCCACCGCGGACATGGGGTTCGCTTCTGAGGTTGGCAGCCTCGCTACTCGGCCCTTGACGAAAGCGCCGAGATCGTGAGCAACTCCACAGCTTTTTGAATATCTGAAGTTGGTGATGCTTTTTAGTAATGCCGGAAGAGATTTGGTTCCGGCCGAAGGGTGTTCTCAGACCTAGACATGGCGTGTCGTAAGCGTGCTTTGTCACATATCGTACTGATGTGGGCTTAGACCATGGTAAGAGGTTGCCTTATTGCTCAAGATTGGCAGCTAGCCCTACGCAGAATGTAATCGCTACCGAACAGTGTTGATTGCTTGGTTCCAGCTCGGACTAGCGCCTCAAGTTCACCGTCGTACAGTACGTCACAGTTGTAGGCGCAGAAAACCGTGTGGCTTGTTGGACTTTAGCTCCTTTTAGCGCAACCGACCCGCGCGGCAAGACTTGGTAGAGTATATGCTGAGCATGGGAATATGTTGATGAAGGCACTTGAAAGTCAAGAAGAAGATCTAGTTGTTATAAAAGTGATCAGTGCCCATCTTCAAAGACTCCATGAAAGAATCATCAATATCATCAAAATTCCTTCGCCTTTTCAATCCCATAGCTAAAAGCACTCGATTGAAATCACTTCTACCTCGAATCTTCAACATGAAAACCCATACTTCTGTTCTTAGCCTTTTGGCTGCGACTGTGTATTTGACCGACGTCGCTTACGCCTGCGTGGGTGACAGTCATCTGCATATGAGAAATGTTGGAAGCAGCAGCTCTTTGGGAAAGCGTGCCGAGACGGATTATATCGGATGCGTTACTCCAGGTACGATCTCACTCCCTCAACCTTAGGAAAGAATTGTCAAGAAAGTTGTATTCAACTAACGCCGCTTTAGGACCTGTGATTTGTGAGCTCATTGGCACTTGTCCCTATCCCAATGCCTCCGCTGGGCCCTGGGACTCGTCCGCCAATGTGCGACAAATGCAAGTCACCGACGATGCCTACAACTCGCTGGACTTCTCCAGATTCAACCACCGGGAGGACACTATCGTCTACATGCCGGGAGGCCGAGAGTTTAATATGGTGCAGCATGTTCAGGACCTGCAGAACACATACGCAAGCTTCCCCAATGTTGCAGTCACCAACCATCCTTATAAGGTGGCCTTTGGAGAGGGCAACTGGACCATTACCATGACCGATGTCACCGGAACCAATACTGGCCCAATTCAGGCTCCAGATGGATGGCGGGGTCCGACCGGCCGCCACGTCAACTATGAGTTCATGACCGCGGCGTACTGGCAAGAAGGCAGAATCGTCATAGAGCACCTCTGGATGGATCTTGTTACCATGGAGCGTCAGATGGGCTTCTTCCCGTCCCCAATCACCACAGATGGAACTCAGTCGCTCACTTTGAGCCCTTATACCATACCCCTTGCGGTCAACCCATTCGTCAACACCTCAGAAACGAACAAGGCGTCTCATCGGAAGTTCGAGACGGCCTTGAACGACGGTCAATTCAATTCTGACAGCCTGATGCTTTCCCCCAATGTCACGATCTTTACCTCTCGTGAGGACACTCCCAATGGACTCAACAGCGACCAGTTCTTTGCGCTTGTCAGCCAGCTGCAGAAGTCATTCTCGAACGTCCATTTGTCCCCTCAGGGCATTTTCGGATCTGGCGATTGGACTGCGTCAGTGGCTCGGCTCAGCGGCAACCTCACGAATGCTTTGGCAGTTCCGGAGTACATCTCCCCGACTCCAATCGATGCAACCAATAAGGGCTTTGACTCTTGGTTCTACACGATTGCACGATGGCAGGATGGCAAGATCACACACTTGAAGTTCATGGCCGATGTGCTTGGCATCCTCAGTCAAGTGCAATAGACATGCACAGACAAGCTTGCTTGATATCTCAACACAAGATCTAGGGCCCGTATGGCTTAGCTAGATTACTACATGTACTATCGCGCGATTCTGTTCATTGGATTCTGTTTGATTTAGCAAGTCATTCTTCGAATACACGAGCTCTTATGGCATTGTCGAAGCTGCGAATGTGTTACTGTAACAAGGGCGTGGAGCTTGAAGGTTCACGTTGGTCGAAAGCTTTATGGCTTCTTCAAAGTGCAATAGAATCTGCAGCATTTGAAGCATAACGCGTAAGGGTGTATCTGTTTTGTGCCTTATTACTATGATTATACAATATGCTTGAACGGCACAAAATTCTTGACATCCATGGTCGAAATGCACGGGAAATCCTCACGCTTTGGGAAGAAAAGAAAGTCTTAAGCGTAGTGGATGCGACAGCGCTCAAGCTGGCGAGGGATGTAGCCTGGATAGCAGAGGTGCCGTTGATAGCAACGGCAGTTGAAGCCTCGGACACTACGCCTTCTTGGAAGCAGCAGCGAGAGCAGAACGAACAGCAGTATAAGCCGGCTTGGGCTTGAGGTTGTTGTCGTACAGGCATGCGCCGCCCTGGCCAGGGAACGTGTTTGGCACCCAGCTGTACTTATCCGTCCAGTCCCAGACGGTCCAGCCCACGCAGCGCTCGACATTGAGACAAGCGTTGATCACGGAAACATAGGCTTCGGCCTGAGACTGAAGACCGGCACCGGTGTAGGGCAAGCTGGTGAACTTGACATCCAACTCAGTGTAGGCAACGTCAACCCCTAGCGCGGTGAAAGAGTTGGCGGCGGACTCGAGGTCCTCCTGGCGGGGCATGCTGCCAACGAGGAAGTGCCCCTGCAGACCAACTCCATGGATCGGCGCACCGGCGTCCTGGACGTACTTGACCAGCTCGACCGTCTTCTTCTGCTTCGCGTTGGGGTTCTCAATGTTGTAGTCGTTGTAGTACAGCTTGGCTGCAGGGTCACTAGCGTGTGCCGTGTTGAAAGCGAGCGTCAGATAATCGAGGCCGAGAACGGTGTAAAACACCGTGTCGCGGTAGTTGCCTGAGTCGTCGATGGCTTCGTTGACTACGTCCCATGAGTAACACTGACCCTTGTAGTGGCCAACCAGGTTTTCGATATGCGTCTTGATAACAGCCGTCAACGAATCCTTAGTCCAAGATCCGCCAGTCAGCCAGGAAGGAATCTGAGACCGGTACAGCAGCGTGTGACACCGGAGGATCTGTCCATTTGCTTTCGCGAAGTTGGGCACCACGTCCGCATACGCGTACTGGAACTTGCCCTGCGTAGGCTCGGTGGAGTCCCACTTCTGCCCGTTCCCAGGAGTGATCTGGCCGAAGTTTCCCACAACCTTGGTGATGGCAGTGTATGACGAATCTGCAAGCTCGTTGTTGTCCGTGGCCGTTCCAAAATATTTCTTTCCTGCTGCTACCGCAAGAGAGTGCAGATCGGCTGTGGCGTGGTCCACAAGGGCCAAGGCCGCCAACGTGGCGACGGAGAAGCGCATGATGATGAAGGTTTGTTGACTTTTGAGATTCGCTTGTCGAGTAAGTTGGAAGATCACTGTGGGTAAGAATTCTCAGGACCTGGTCTGAATGAGCGTGAGATTGACCCGAGCGACAAAATCCACAACGCAGGAAACGAATGGAGAGATGTAGCGAGTGAAGGTGCACAGGTGCGACGTTCCAGGAAACAGAGGCGAAGACAGCTTTGAACTAGACACGGCGCACCGCCTTTGTTTATAAGATAGTGTAGTGGGTGACATGATTATTCTCGACAGCCCACTATTCGTGCACTGTCCATGAACCAGAGTCTTTCACAACTCGGCTTCGCCGTATCTCAAGAGGAGAAAGTCCACCCCAAAGTTGCATCCATTGGACCATTTGGGGTCCACTGTGCCAGGATACCTACTCGTGTCGAGAAAGGCTCACCCAAACAAATTGAGCGCCAGTCGATTCAGTTGATGGTACTCGCAAATCCCCCCTACAATCCTTCCCAATGCGACTGACTCGGTAAACAGACGAACCTCATAGCGGCCTGGGCGTTTGTTGTCACACAATAGAACAGGGCTCGAACGTGGGCCAGGAGTTGATGGCTGTGCTCGAAGGTTGGTTAGCGAAGTTTAACATAAACCACCCCAGTTGTGACGTCGTATGTTCATAACCCGATTCTGTGAGCGTGCTTGTCATAGAATTTGTCAAGTCGAACATATGCTTAAGTCAAGAAATGTCGGGACATAGGACAACACCGACGGCATTGAATTATGTTAGGTCATATACAGTGTGCAGGTGTTCTTGAATTATTTGATTTTACTTCTTTGGTTATTTTAATTAAGTGCGGTCATGACAGAAAAGAACCCTCTTCATGTATGCCCGCCCACGAGAGCTGAAACCCTGAGCAATCATGGCTCTGAAGGCACTTTCTCGAAGCGCAGCAACAACGTCTCTGTGCATGCGGCGCTCATGCATTCGGTCCCTGGATACTCCGTCTCGTCCGCCACGCTTGTCTTGAAGCTGGTATAGATGGATGCGATCCCCATGCGCAGTACTACGCGTTTGTTAGTGACCGAAGCATAGACAGAGTGGGGATTGGTACTTACATTCCATGGCAATGGGTTGCCCAATGCATCCTCGCTGCCCTGAACCAAAAGCGTAGAACCACCTGTTCATCGCGGCCAAGTCCTTAGGCTCCTTGGACACCCAGCGGTACGGGTTCCAAACTTCAGGATCCAGGTAAACATCTGGGTTGCGGTTGAGATGTCTGCCGTAGGTGCCGACTCGCGTGTGGCTGGGGAGTTCATCGATGCGGCCGAACTTGCTTGTGCCGTGCGCAGGACTTACGCGCGGGTCCAGACCGGGCGCCGTGTTCCGCAGACGCAGACTTTCCTTGATGATGCCGTTGAGCAACTCTAGCTGCTCAAGATCCCGCGATTCGGGCAAATTGCTTTCGCTGAGAGGCTGCTTGAGAGACGAGAGCTCGACATGAAGCGCAGCCTGAATATCCGGGTGTCGGGAAAGCTCCCATAGCATGTAGGTGAAGGTAGTACCAAATGTTTCTCCCGACGAGGCTATCGTGTGTTAGCGCTGTGTTGATAGGAGGTACTGAGACAACTTACTGATGTGATCCAGACACTCGCTGGCCAGTTCAAGCCTCTGGGTCGCCGATGGTACAAAATCAGCATCTTTGACACCGCTCTGCTGTGCCATAGCTATCCTGACGGCATCGTACAACACGGGCAGGTCACCCGGTGCAGGCTCCGAACCTTGCATTCGGGACTGTAGCAGGTCTTCGGCAGCATCAACTCTCCGCAGCGCCCATGTCTCCAGTTCTCGACGAGCGTTGACATAGGTCTTAGAAAGGATCGGCACGCCTAGTCGACGAGCAAATTCCACGAATCGCGGGTGCTCCTTGAGGAGGTAACCGAGAAAGCCACCTGGGTAGCAGTCATTGTTCAAAGCAAACCATTGGTCGTAGGCGAGACGATCTTTGAGAAAGTTGTGGCCAAGAGACAGTCCGAATGCAAACGCCGACACGTAGTCGAGGGCGAAGGCTTGAGCCAAGGGCATTATGGAAGCAGTTCCATCTTTGGATGAGGCGACGTCAGCCAGCAGAGGGTACAGCTTCTGTTGCACGAGAGAAGCGAGGATAGATTGCACATCAGGCGATTTCATCAAAAACTGACGAGAGTGAGCAATCCGGAGACGATGGCGACGTCCTCGATGCTCGTTGCTCCCGAGCGTTGTGAAGGTATTGGTAATGCTGAATTAATAAGCGTTAGTCGGACCTAGCAGCACATGAGAAAGTCTCACTAACCCATGAGTTCCGAAATACGTATAAGAGTGGTGCTTGTCAAAGCTGGACGATCCCACGCCCCAGCCATTGCGGACGGCTTCGATGTCGTTGACGGCAACCTCACGAGGACCAAGGCGCACATAAGAGCCCTTTGAAAGGAAGGCCTCCGATACGCATTCGTACTCTTGTCCCTGTAGTCGTTTCCAGTGTATCCAGAGCGATGTGATATGGCATAACGGATGAGCTGCTGGGATGGACGCCAGAGGAGACCAAAATAGCGGATAAACGATGAAGTGCCAGATCAACACTGGGAACAGAATGAAAATAAGTGCCGCTGCTACAAGGGAATGCATCTTCGTTTCGATGTCCACGAAAGATGCAAAAATGACCGCTTGAGATTTTCTCGCGGCTCTGTCCGAGTTGAAAAGGTCCAGCAAGACAAAGAGCCCAAAAGCCACTCCATCGCTGCGCGCCAAGGGCGTTGAACACTCGGTGAGACAAATGCCACGCAGTACGCAATGGGCAATCGGGTAGAGCTGGCTGATGTCTTACAATCGAGGTAGCGGCCAGAACACCTCAGACTGCTATTTTGGGTAATTCGCCGGCCAGCCAAAGATGTTGCTTTATACTGCCGCCTTTGTTGGATCGCCGGAAGTCGACTGGCAGCTTCCCGCCGCCACGAATGATAATAGCGCCAAGGAGCATAAAAGAAGCGCTAACGAGTGTCTCTTCCACGTTGTCGGGAATGTCTCTGCGGCTGTCGGCATCGGACCATACTGTCGGGTAGAGGGCCACTTTTCAGCTGCATCCTTTGGTTCAAGGTTTACCTTCAGCAGTGATGAGGCCATTGAGCACAAGGGGCCTTTGCCAATGACTGCATACAAAACTTGCACTAGCAATGTCTATTAACAGGACCTATGCCTGATGCGTCAATCATACATACGTTTCATAAACACGTCCACGCCGATTACCCGACGCCTGCCTCAAGACCGCGACCAAGATCCTTCCGAACCATCGGTTACCTGCCCGTCTGCGGGCGCGCCTAACATTCCCCAAAGGTCCTCAAGCCTAACGCCTCCAAATATGTCAGTGTTACTGATCTCGGTGAACATGCCCGTCAAGTCTGGTAGCTCCAGATCCATTATGTCCATCTCCGCGGCGATGTTCCCGGCGCTGGATGTCTCCGTT